TACTCACCAGTGTAGGGAAGCCCCCTCTTACTCACATTGGATTCAGGTCCGGGAATCCTTTTCACTCACATCTTAGCCAAGACCCTCTGGTTTGGACCTTTCTCTCTAATTCACCACTTCACTCATTCACCAAATATTTAAGGACTTTCTACTCTGCTCTGCCGGTTCTAGGCATTGGGGGTGCAACATGGAACCAGACCACCAAAAATCTCCTTTGGTGGAATTGGAACAATATCAGGCAGCGAAGAACATGAAGAAATATAAGTGGGGTGGAGAAATAAAAACAGAGAGGGTGTTTTCAGTAGGGCAGTCAGGAAAGTGCTCTATGAGAGGTGACCCATGAACTGAGGCCCAAAGGAAGAGGGAAAGTGAGCCACGAGGCTGTCTGGGCTCAGGAGTCCAAGCAAAGATCAGACGTGCAAAGGCACTGAGGCAGGAGCCTGCTTACTGTATTTGAAGACCATCGGGACAGGAGCCAGCAGGAAAATGAGAAGCATTAGAGTAAGGGAAGGTAACCAGGCCAGATCGTGGGGCATTGGGGACCAAAGTGAGGACTTTGTGAAGGAAGAGGAACTAGTAGGGGGCTTTGAGTGGAGGAAGGGTTCCTAGGGGCCCAGGGGGGTAAGACGGAGACCAGGGAGGAGGCTGAATTCAGTGTAGAGGGGAGGTGGGTTTGGGTGGTCTCTGCTCCCTCCCACAGGGTCCTGGGCCTCACACTGGCATTTACTGGTACACCTTGTCCACAGCTCCTGTCCTGTGGCCTAGGTTCTCAGCCCAGCTGTGTGACAGTTTCCCTGACTGTGAGGGGGGTTGTGGGGTTACATCAGGTAAGCATGCAAAGAACTTAGAACAGTGCCTGGCACACAGGAGCTCTCTGTGGATGTCCTAGGTGGTGCTGGGCACCCAGGTGGTGCTGGGTTGGAATACTTTCTGGGATGCTATTTAATTTTGGAGACATAGACACACACTCTCTCTCTCTCTCTCTCACACACACACACACACACACACACACACACCCGCAAGGGCCAAATGCAGAAGCTTATTTTGTTTTATTTAAAAACGTATTTTGTTGATTAAGATATGAATCACACACCACAAAATTCACCATTGTAAAGGGTACATCCCCACTCTCTAATTTCAGAATATCTTTTAATCTCAGAAAGAAACCCTTACCCATTCACAGTCACTTCCCATTTCTCTCTCCCCCTAACCCCTGGCAACTAATCTCCTTCCTGTTTCTGTAGATTTTCTACTTCTGTACATTTCATAGAAATACAATCATACAAACATGGCCCTTTGCGTCTGACTTCTTTCCCTGTTACTATGTGTTTGCATGATGCATTCCTGTTGCAACCTGCATTGGTATTTCATCTGTTCATATTTATGCCTAAATACTATTCCTGTTCCCTGGATAAACAGATCACACTTAGCTGTCAACTGATAGATATTTGAGTTGTGTTCCACTCTTGGCTCTTGTGGATAATGAGGCTATGAACATTCATGTATAAGTTTTATGCAGACACATGTTTTAAATGACATAGGGTATCTAGGTAGAAATAGAATTTCGGGATCACATAATTCTGTATTTGTTTTGAATGTATGAGGATTAAAGGCTTTTGTGAATGATCACTGGAGTTCAGCAAGTTTTGTGAATCAGGCTGATAAAAGTCAGGAACATGTTTAAGAGGACTTTTTTTTTTAATTTTTAAAAAAGATTTATTTATTTATGCATACAAAAACTGGGGTACAGGCCAGAGGTGGGGGTTGAGAGGATTCACCAGAGGCAGAATGGGGAACAGAACAGGCGGATCTACTGAAATACACTGCTGAGGGGAGCAGCGGGCGAGACAGGAGAGGTCTGCTGCACCATGTGGGTAGCTCCCTGGCTGGGGGTCAAACTTGTGCTGAGTGGCTGCAGATAGCTTCATAGGTTGCGCCTTAACCCCTTGAGTCACCAGGGAGGCCCAAGGACTTATTTTGAAGTAGCCCCCTTCCACACCTCCTCTTCCTGGAGGGGTCCCCCAAAAGCAGGCCACCTTACAGCAAAGCTCAATGGCAGGGACACACTCCTGACTAGGGTCCCCTGAGCCAGCTGGGAGGCCTCAGTCAACTTTCTCCCTTCTGACCCTCGACTTCATCACCTGTGAGGGGCAGTCTCTGTGCCTGCTCCCTGGGGTGATTGTGAAGTGCATGAATCACATCTGCAAGTACTTAGCACATACATTGTGAGTTCCCAATAAAAGATGGCTGAGAGGGTGCGGCCCAGACTCCTCTCCCTGTTCTTCCACTTTGGCAGAAACCGGCACCTCCTCTCTGGGTTCCTCCCTCCCCTGGCTCCCCCTAAGGCCCTGGTGCCTCGTTCTTGCTCACACTCAATCCACAGGCCTTCCCAAGTCTCCTCACAGCCTGTCCCCTCCCTAGTTGCCCGACGTTTGTGCCTGGCCTTGACCTCCCTTCTGGAATCTCTTAGTCTAGAAAGAAAATGAAGATGAAGCACACAGCAGGACAAATTGTCACAAACACGATGAAGGAAAAGATCCATGTCCCTTGAGGGAAACAGGTGTCCCTTGGCTCAGCTTGGCTGGTCGAGGTAGTGAAGACAAAGATGAAGGGTGAGGAGCCCGCATTGGGGTGAGAGGCAAGGAGATTAGTCCCATGCAGAGATCAGCACAACAGCCTTCAGGCTGGTGCCTCTTCAGCCCTCAACACCAGCAAGCTCTCCTTGCCAGAAGCTTCCCGGGTTGAGAGCTGCCAACTAGTGTACACTCATCACCCCACATCTCTCTGGCCCTTCTGGGACCTTCATCAAGCAAACCCAGTCAGGAAGGGCGCATTCAAATAAAACCATAATTTATTACGGTTATTGCATAACGGAACACAGAATAACTCCCGGGAGCATCTCTTTTCAGAAAGGACAACTCCAGGCCCCAGGAAACTGCGTCCAACACTGAATGGTAGTTGTCTGAATGAACGGTTCTGTCAGTTAAGACGCGGGGAACGCATGTCCACCTCTGACTTCGAAAGACATCAAAGATGTGCTGGGTGGATGGACATGTGATAAAGGCAGCAGAGGAGACCATTATGGCAGAACCCATGGGCTGCAGGTATTGCCGTGAAATGCCCAAGATAAAATCTTTTTTTTTTAAGTCTCTTTTTTTTTAGAGAGAGATTTATTTATTTATACAAGCACTGGGATACAGGCCAGAGGCGCGGAAGGGTGAGAGAATTCACCAGAGACAGAGCAGGGAGCAGAACAGGCAGAAGGACCAAGGTGCACTGCTGAGGGGAGCAGCGGGCAAGACAGGAGAGGTCTGCTGCGCCATGTGGGTAGCTCCCTGGCCGGCCGGAATGGAATCCGCGCTGCCGAGGCTGCAAACATCTTCACAGTGCAGCGCTCCACCTGCTGCACCACCAGGGAGGCCCCAAGATAAAATCTTGCAGGGGGAGGGAAGGAACCCAGGGGAGGGAACTGAACTGATACTGTCCCACAAGAGCGGACCCCGTCTGCTCAGAGTGCTTTCCTGTCCTTCTCTTTATCTGTCAAGAAACCTCTTGCTTTTCTGCATAAAACAAAAAAAATACCAATGAGGAAAAAACGCAGTGAATATAAAATGTCAGGGCTCAAGCAGGCTTCTCCCTCCCTGGCCTGTTTTCTAGGTTTTATTGATACCTTGCTTTGCATTTGTTTTCATACTCTGTTTTTATGTCTCCTCTCCCAGGAAGCCTGTTATTTCCCCAAGGGCAGGAGCTTTCTACCATTTTTGGCCTCACCATTGATGGATTTTTGGAGCCAAAAGCCATGTTTGTAGCCCTGCAGATACCCCGCCTCCCTTTCTATAGGAGGAATATGTGGCCCCAGAGGGGAAGTCAGCTAGCTCCAGGTACCTGGTCCTGACCCAGTACCCAGCCCCGGCTTGGCAGGTATTCTAGAGACTCCATAGGCCACTGTGGAAGGGCCTGGTCCTGACAATAGAGAGGCCTGCTGGGTTTCCATGGGTTACCCTGGCCAGGGCCTCCCCACCCCAGCTTCCCTTTTCTCATCGATCCCCACAGTGGGGATCAGGAGAGGAACTCTGCCTTTGTGGTGTGGAAGGCATGAATGGTTCAGGGTATGTCTGGTCTTCAGTAGAATCTGGAAGCTTGCAGGTGCTCAGAATGCAGTCTGCCTCACTCCTGTGACCCTGTGCCTTCCCCCTGAGCCTTGGGTCCTCCTCCCAGGAGACCACCACCCCATGGTGGAGAGAGACCCTCCATGGGTCTCTCTCCTCTCGTCCTAATTCACCGATTCCCCTCACGACTTACATGAGACAGGAAAGCCCCTGTATTCACAGAACATCCTCTGCAGCTCTGGCAGCTGTTTCTGCCCCCACTCGCTGACTCTGACCTAGCATGAGCCTCCCAGGGCTTCTCTGGAAAGTGGATCAATACCAGTACTTCTTACTTAACTGGGTGGTTGGGCCATTCGGTGAGGTCATGCATGCAAAGCGCCCTGCAGGGAGCCTGGCAGGTAGTAATTGCACAATAAACACAGTTACCATTGTCATGCCTTGGGTGCCTTGGGTGCCACACCCCTTGATTGAGGATGCCTTCCTCCATGGGCTCCACCTAGGCTCAGTCATTCTCTTCCCTGGTGCTTCCATCCCATTCCTGACCTAGAATGGCTCTTTCCCGGCATACATGTCCCTCCCAGTGCCGGGATCACCTCACACCAGTGAAGCCTGGCTTGTCTCTGTCAACTGCCCTCTCACACCTGAGCAGCCTGAAATCTCCAGCTCAGCCTGTTCTGTGCCTCAGAGCCCCCAGCATCTTCTGCAAAGTGGCACGATGAGAAAAGACAAGCCACCCCCCACCCCTCCGCCCCACGGAGCCCTTCTTAGGGAGCACAGCGCACCATGGTGAGAGGGTACAGTGGTCATTTTTATTCACAAATCTCAGTACAGCCCCTTTAGGGGACCAGATAACTATGGCTCCCTTCCCCTCCCCCACCCCCAGCTCCTCCAGTCATTTCAGCTGATAGAACCACAGGAAGGTCAGTCTGCTCAGCAAGGCCAGTGCATCAGTTTAGGGAATGATGTTGGCGACGCTCTGGAAGAGAACAGGAGACAAAGTGAATGCAGGGCGCAGGGGTCCTGGAAGACCGAGACCTCTGCCCTCACTCCCTGGAGACACAGAGAGCCTGGCTGCTCGGGCCTGGGAACCTCTGTGTTCTGAGGAACATCTGGAGGAAGATGCAGGGGTGGGGGCCCAGAGGTGCCAGGGATGGGGAGTGAGGGGGACCTGTAGGAACCGAGAAGCCTGGTCCATTTGCCTCCAGGGCCTAGGAATAAACAAGGTTGTGCCTGTGGGCTCCGGACTGTTTCTAGGGTTGCCGCACGCCCCCACTCTTTGTCCTCTTCTCAGGCAGCTGGTGTGCTCAGTGCAAACAGGAGCTAGGACTTTGCACACCAGCAGTCTACTTGAGTAGGGGGCAGCTGAGGGGGCAGCTGAGGGGCAGACTGTCAGCCAGGGAAGGGACAGGCTCTAAGGGTTCCCAGCACTGCACATGGCTGCGGCAGGCGAGGCAGCGCCACAGCGGGCAAGAGGGATGCCTGGGAGGTGATGAGGAGAGGAGGTGGGTGCAGGGAAGGGTGATTTCAGCAGCTCCTGTTTCCCAGATGCCCCAGGGCCCTTGGAGGTCCCTCCTGCCAGCTCGTGTTTGCCTTGGTGGGAACCGAAGGCATGCAAAAGATGAACACCGGATATGTCAGTAAAGACAAGGTGAAGAAAAGAGCAGGCCTAGAAGACGGGTTAGGGGGTGTCTGCCTAGGCTGAGAGTCTGTCTGGGTGCCATTGTCTGCGAACAGGCAGTGAGAAGGGGGTGTGAGACTCTCTCCCAAGACTGAGCAGAACATAGAATCCACGTGGGCACTTACCCACCACAGAGCTGGAAAGTTGATGAAGGGCTTGTTGGCCGAAGCCTGGAATTCAAGGACAGGAGAGTCAGTCATCAGCACCACCCATCCCGCCACCCACTTAGGAGGACCCCAGCCGGGCTCCACTCCCCCTGGGACTTACTCCAGATGTTAATGTTGTGGTTGCGCCCCCTCCGTGCTGGCCGGTGTATCCGCCTTGATGACCGCCCTGTGGGTGAAGTGCAGGCCGTCATTACAACCCCTCAGTCTTTGGGGGCTCTCCCAAGTCTCCTTTTCCCCGGCCACCTGCTCCCCTCTAGGGTGACTGGGGCTGAGGTGGGAGGCAGAGGCTAACCTCTGCCCTCAACTCTGCTTGAGATGGGAAGAACCGTCGGGAAAGATGTCTGCCCTCACCCCCCCCCCACTGACCTGTCTTCCCCTATTTCCCTTTATTTCACTTAGTGAGATCCTCCCAGTCACTGAGAAGGGGCCTGACTGCAAAGAACCTAAAAGTAGCCACGCAGATACCAGGACCTTAGCCTTGACCTCAAATGCACCCCTCTATACATGCCACTCTCTCACGCAGGTCGCTCCCTGGCCATAATCCTGCCTCCAGATACTCAGCAGGGCCTCCCCGCTACTACCACAGATTTCAAATCCCGTAACAAGCCACCCACTCCTGGCCTCTCACAGTCTGTCCCAGGGGCCTCTCTCCTCCCCTGCACGCTTTCTGCATGGCCGGTTCCCCACCCTACTGCCCCCCAGCCTGGCTCCCCACCCTGCAGCCTATGCAGCTTTGGGCTTTGAGGCCTGCGCCAGTCTTCAAGATGGCGTCCCAAAGACTCCTCAGGGAGATTAGAGCAGGGGCTGAGGCGGGCCAGGGTCAGCCTTCTCCTGTCCCCATAATCCCCGACTTGGTGCCTGCTCTTCTATGAATGTCACTGCTGGCTTCTCCCGGCTTCCCAGGTCTGTTCCTGGCACAGAAATGGGGATCCCAGATCCTCCAGGAGGTCTCCTCTGAGGAAGCAGTGAGCCGGAAGAAAAAGAACGCTGACTTGCTTTTCACCAAAGCTGTGCGCCAGCCACCTGACCTTGGCAAACCCCGTCAGACCTCACCAAGCTTCTGTTTCCTTATCTAAGAATCAAGGAGTCAGCATCCTCACCCAGACTACCTCACAGGCTTGTTATGAAGATGAAACAGACCCGGACTTATCTCCAAAAGCTAGTCCTCGACCTCATGCTGTGCTCTGGGCTTGCTCAACACCCCTCTGCGCTAGAATAGGCTTGGCCTCTGCAACTGTCTCCCGTTCACCAAGAGAAGCTTCCTGTGTCTCTCGTTATTTTTTATTTTTTTAAAAGATTTACTTATTTATTTATACAAGCACTGGGTACAGTCAGAAGTGCGGGAGGGTGAGAGAATTCACCAGAGCCAGAGCAGGGAGCAGAACAGGCAGAAGGACCGAAGTACACTGCTGAGGGGAGCAGCGGGCGCAGCAGGAGAGGTCTGCGCACCATGCGGGACCCTCGCCTGGTGGCCGGGGATCGAACCGGTGCTGCAGAGGCTGCAGGCAGCTTCGCAACCCAGCACTCAACCACTGCGCTACCGGGGAGACCCATGTGCCTCTCTTTATACCTCCTCCACTAAGCGGGCAGCTGCTCAAGGATGGGACTGGGTGCCTTTCGCATTGTATGATACGGGGCTTTGTGATTAAGACAGCATAAACCTCCCCACCAGCTCCTTTGTAAGGGACATGAGGAGGAAAAAGGAGGACACAGTTACGAAGCCCTCCAAGCTTCTTTTACTGCATGAGCTCCACAAATGGCCCCCAGTGTAACCTCTCCCTCCCCCAGCCCCTTTACCCCAGTTCCCCACCCCTGTTCACCTACATTCAGCAGCTGGTTGGCCTCCTTGCCGGCTTGGTGGACCCCATTATGAAAATTCTGCTGCAACCTGTCCGCCTCCTTCCCGGCCTGGCCAGCAGCCTGGTGGACACCTTGGCCAAGTTTCTCCGCTTCCTTTCCAGCCTGGCCAGCAGCTTGGTGGACCCCTTGGCCAAGTTTCTCTGCCTCCTTCCCGGCCTGGTTGACCCCATCATGGAACCCTTGGACCATTTTGTCCGCATCCTTTCCGGCCTGTTCAACAGCATGGTGAACCCCCTGGCCAAATCGCTCCACCTCCTTCCCAGCCTGGTTGAACCCAGGATGGACCCCTTGGATCACTCTGTCCCCCTCTCTCCCAGCCTGTCCTGCGGCATAGTGCACCCCCTGACCGAACTTCTCTGCCTCCTTCCCAGCCTGGTTAACTCCTTGATGGACGCTTTGGATCACTCTGTCGCCCTCTTTCCCAGCCTGCCCTGCGGCATGCTGCACCCCCTGACCAAACTTCTCTGCCTCCTTCCCAGCCTCGTAAATCCCATGGTGCATCCCCTGGCCAAACTGCTCCACCTCCTTCCCAGCCTGGTTGAACCCAGGATGGACCCCTTGGACCACTCTGTCCCCCTCTCTCCCAGCCTGCCCTGCAGTGTATTGCACCCCCTGACCAAACTTCTCTGTCTCTTTCCAGGCCTCATTAACACCATGGTGCATCCCCTGGCCAAACTTCTCCACCTCCTTCCCAGCCTGGTTGAACCCAGGATGGACCCCTTGGACCACTCTGTCCCCCTCTCTCCCAGGCTGCCCTGCAGCATAGTGCACCTCTGAGCCAAATTGGTTCCCTACCTGGTTGAATCCAGGATGGACCCCTTGGACTACTCTGTCCCCCTCTCTCCCAGCCTGCCCTATAGCATGGTGGATCCCATGGCCAACTTTATCTGCCTCCTCCCCAGCCTGCCCAGCGGCATAGTGGATCCCCTGGCCCAACCTCCCTCCCCCGTTCCCAGCCTGCCCAGCAGCATGGTGAATCCCCTGGCCCAACTTCCCTGCTGCATCCCCAGCCTCCCCTATAGCATGGTGGACCCCCTGGCCCAACTTTCCTCCCTCATTCCCAGCCTGCCCTACAGCATGGTGGATCCCCTGGCCCAACCTTCCTGCCTCATGCCCAGCCTGCCCTATAGCATGGTGGACCCCCTGGCCCAACTTCCCTCCCTCATTTCCAGCCTGCCCAGCAGCATGGTGGATCCCCTGGCCCAACTTCCCTGCCGCATCCCCAGCCTGCCCTATACCATGGTGGACCCCCTGGCCCAACCTCCCTCCCTCGTTCCCAGCCTGCCCAGCAGCATGGTGGATCCCCTGGCCCAACCTTCCTGCCTCATGCCCAGCCTGCCCTATAGCATGGTGGACCCCCTGGCCCAACTTTCCTCCCTCATTCCCAGCCTGCCCAGCAGCATGGTGGACCCCCTGGCCCAACTTCCCTGCCGCATCCCCAGCCTGCCCTATAGCATGGTGGACCCCCTGGCCCAGCCTCCCTCCCTCGTTCCCAGCCTGCCCAGCAGCATGGTGGATCCCCTGGCCCAATCTTCCTGCCTCATGCCCAGCCTGCCCTATAGCATGGTGGACCCCCTGGCCCAACCTCCCTGCTTCACTTCCTGCCTGGTTCACCCCATGATGTACCCCCTGAATCACTTTGTCTGCCTCCTTCCCAACCTGTCCAGCGGCGCTGTTGACCCCATGGGCAAACTTCTCTGCTTCCTTTCCGGCTTGTCCAGCACCATTGTTGATCCCATGGGCTACCTTGTCCAAGCCGTGGTTGAGCCCCTGGACACCCTTGTCCAGCTCCTTGCCGCTCTGGCTCCCCACGTTGCCAAGTCCACTAAAAACTTTCTCCACTTCTCTTCCAGCTTGAGTGATTCCATTGTTGAGGCCTTCCAGGGCCCTGCCCACTTCTCTCTCTGCACTGGTCAGCCCTCGGTTGATGCCTTCAATGACCTTCTCCAGGGGGTCATCTTTGGCTGCCCATCCAGGCAGAGCCCCCAGTAGCAATAGGAGGCAGCAGGAGCTGACCACACTGGCAAGACGCATGTTGTTGGGAAGGTGGGGAGAATGCAGAGAGGAGGCAGGGAATCAAAGCTGCTATTTATCCTCCGCCTCTCTGCCTAGCCCCACCCCTCATGACTCAATTGCCCCTGTAAGGCACTGACTTGGTCCCTAGTCAGGGAGGTGTTTCCCAGAGAGATTTGGGTTGAGCAATGAAGAGGAGGAGGAAGAGAGGATGAGTCATGCATAGAGAAGACTCACATGGCACCTGTACTCCTTCTCAGCTCAGGCCCTCCACCCCAGAGCCCAGATGTCTGCCCTTCCAACCACCGCCTCTTTTCATTCCTCACCCACTAGCCAGGCCTCCTCTCTTCCAACCCCGCCTTCAATCAGCCTCCATCCCTGTGGTCCAGCCTGGTTCTTCAACATCTTCACCCTACTCAGAAGATCGCAGAATCCAACTAACCCAGCAATGAGAGTCTAGAAAGATGGGGAGGGTCATCAGGAGAAGGGAGGACTCCAAGGTTGTCATCAGGCCTTGTTCTTACCATTCTCTCTCTCTCTCTCTCTCTCTCTCTCTCTCTCTCTCTCCCTCCCTCCCTCCCTCCTCCAGCCATAGGGATACAGGTCTTCTCCCTGGGCCTCAAACACACTGAGCTAATTCCTGCCTCCTGGCCTTTGCATTTCCTGCTCTCTCTACCTCGGATGCAGAGCTCAGTCTTCACACGATTGGCTCCTTCTATTCTTGGCTCAAATGTCACCTTCTCAAAAAATAAACAAACAAGCAAAACTACTTCCCTAGCCATTCCCCAGTTATACTTTGTGATATCACCCTTTTGTTTTATAGCTCTTCCCCCAAATTGTCTTTTGATTGTCTGTCTCACCTACTAGGTTGTAAAGTTCCAGAGGACAGGGCCCATGTTTGTGTTGGTCACTGCTATATCCCTAGCTTCTAGAACATTGCCTGGGGCTTAGTGAATATTTACAGGTTGAACCAACAGGTGGATTAGAAAAGAGAGCCCAGGCCCGAGTCTCATAGGGTGCTGGAGGGAAGGGTGTTGGGGTCGCCAGAGTAGACTAGGGACTCTCGGGGGAGGGCTGCGGCTTGTTTGGGGAGCCGAGAATCACACTCTCCTCGCACAATCCTTGCCTCCTGCCTCCCAGCCCTTGGGCAAGGGCAGGGGGCTGATTGCCATGAGCTGGGACAGACGCAGAGTCTCCTGAAAAGCCGGTTGAGGCAGCCCTGGGGAGGGGCCGAAGACCCAGGGCAGCAGGAGACTCAGTCAGAACCTGGGCTGGGGGCCAAGAGCTTATCCTCCTGCCCACCTCCCCCTGGGGCCTCCTGAGTCCGGACCTGAAGCCCCAAGCGAGGACGTACTGGCCCAGGCTGGCGGGGGAAACAATTGAGCGTGTGGCCTGGGCATGGAGAGGGCCTTGGAAGGAGGGCCGGGTGGCGGCTGGCAGGCCTGGGGTAGCAGACCTATCTGGCGCTAATTTAGAGGGAGGCTGAGAACAGAACGGGAGTCAGTGGGTGGATACAGTTGGGTGCAAGGGTGAAAGATATTTGGGTTTTGGTGCCAAAGGGAGAGACAGAGAGGGGCGTGGAGGTGGGGTTGCTGGTGGGAAGGCCAGTCAGGAAGGAACGCGGTGCAGGGTGTGGGCAAGCGGGGGTGGCTAGGTATGTGTGTAGGTGTCCAGGTGTGGTGAGAATCTGCACGTGTTTTCAGGTTTTGCTCAAAGGCGACAAGGCCCACTCCCCTTGGGGGGCCCAAGGTTCCACCCTCGAGCCTGGACACTTGGCTCCACCCAGGCCCCGAGACCCAGGAGCTTCTGCCTTCTCAGTCTCTGCTTACCAAGGTGACTAAGTAGTGCCACCTCTCCAAGCTTGAGCTCATCGAATCTGTTTCCCAGTTTCATGCTCCAGGAACACGGCCAAATGCCTGGGCAACTTCAGGTGTGGCTTTTCTACCCCTGTCCAGTGCCTAAACGAGGGAGTTTCCCAGGCCAGGCGATTGCTGGGTGGAAGGGGTGAGTGGTGAGCTTCAGAATCCTAATCCTCCCTGAGATTGAGAGGTGGGGCATCTTTATCTATCTTCTCTTTTTTTTTTTTAAATTTTTTTAATCATTGTTCATTTTTTTTTAAGATTTATTTATTTATACAAGCACTGGGTACAGTCAGAAGCGCGGGAGGGTGAGAGAATACACCAGAGCCAGAGCAGGGAGCAGAACAGGCAGACTGATGAAGCACACTGCTGAGGGGAGCAGCGCTCGCAGCAGGAGAGGTCTGCGCGCCATGTGGGACCCTTGCCAGTGGCCGGGGATCGAACCGGTGCTGCAGAGGCTGCGGGCAGCTTCGCAGCCCAGTGCTCAATCGCTGCGCCAACAGGGGAGGCCCTATCTATCTTCTCTTTTCTTCTCCGTGCTTTGCTCCAACTCCCGCCAGCCTCAGCCCCTCTCCTCGGTGCTCCATTTGCCGAGACTGATTTGGGACTTTGGCATCTAAACCCATCTAAACTTTGGCATGAGATTGGCCCAGAAAAGCCTTGCTTGGCCATCTTCTGCTGGTTCGGGGAAAGAGACTGTGTTGGTTTCCCTCTGTGAGTCCAGGTAGTTTCACTAGTCCAGGCCTCAAGGCTCCCCCAAAGCACTCCCAAGAAAGAAGTGGGTGCCTTGCCAATCCCAGGACCCCAGAGCACACGCCTTACCCAGAACTCGGTATACCGGGCTTCCCAACTCTGCTTGGGATCTGCAAGCTTTCCTAGAGACTGTCAAATATTTGCTCCCTGTGCATCTACAAATGTCACCCAGCAGCCACCCAGATCGGATGGGATTCAGTCCCTGGGAGGCGAGATTTTTTTTTTTAAAGATTCATTTTTATTTTATTTATACAAAAACTGGGGTACAGGCCAGATGCGCAAGAGGGTGAGAGGATTCACCAGAGATAGAGCAGGGACCAGAACAGGCAGACTGACGAAATACACTGCTGAGGGGAGCAGTGGAGAGACACGAGAGGTCTGCTCGCCACGTGGGTTGCTCCGAAACTGGCGCTGCAGAGGCTGTGGACAGCTTCACAGCGCTACGCTCTACTGCCTGCGCCACCAGGGAGGCCCCTAGATTTTAACTCTTTCTGTTTCTCCACTTGTTACTGGTCTATTCAGACCTGCCATTTTTTTTTTTTTTGGTTTTTGGTTTTGTTTTTTTTTTTTAAAGATTTATTTATTTATTTATTTATTTATACAAGCACTGGGTACAGTCAGAAACGCTGGAGGGTGAGAGAATTCACCAGAGCCAGAGCGGGGAGCAGAGCAGGCAGACTGACGAAGTTACACTGCTGAGGGGAGCAGCGGGCAGCAGGAGAGGTCTGCGCGCCATGTGGGACCCTCACCTGGGCGGCCGGGGATCGAACCAGCGCTACAGAGGCTTCGGGCAGCTTCACAACCCAGCGCTCAACCACTGCGCCAACGGGGAGACCCCTGCCATTTGTTTTTATCAGTTTTGTTTTCATTTCTCTTTTTGTTTTTTAAGATTTATTTATTCATGCATACAAGAACTGGGGTACAGGCCAGAGGTGTGGGAGGGTGAGAAGATTCCCCAGAGAGAGAGTGGGGAACAGATCAGGTAGACTGACTGAAATACACTGCTGAGGGGAGCAGCAGGGGAGTCAGGAGAGGTCTGCTGTGCCATATAGGAATCTCCCTGGCCATGCAGGATCAAACCCGCACTGCAGAGGCTGTGGACAGCTTCACAGCACTGTGCTCAACCACCTGTGCCACCAGGGAGGCCCTTGTTTTGTTTTTGTTTTTGTTTTAATGGTGTAGAAGCCTATTCAGGGACCTGGAAAGATGGTCACAGAATACAGTTAAAGGGGTGGGGGCAAAGTAAAAATGGTATTTACAGGTATATATTTACAGTATGATTTGTTTTAGTTTCTTAATCACTTAAAAATATCAAAGCATATCAGCTGATATTTCCACATACTTAAAACATGTGCTTCAACTCAGACTAGGCAAATACAGTCAGAGCCCCCAAATCCTGGGAAGGCTTTCTGGACCATGTAGCTTCCAAGAATCACTATCTGTAGGTAAGGCAGCAGTTTCCCTCCTGGCTTTCCTGTATTGTGTTGATAAAGCTGCAGTTCTGAGTCTGAATTTCTCCTCTTTGTTTACTCTTTTAGCTTATACAAACACAGAAAGCAAACTCGCCTGGGTCAGTCCGTCTGTCCTCTTCCTCCCAAGAACTGGCATCATCTTATATATTGTTCCAAGCATGACATTTTATTTTTATTTTTTTAAATATTTTTACATAGCCAGCACAGTTAACTTGTTCACAACCTTTTTTTTTTTTTTAAGCTTTATTTATTTATACAAGCACTGGGTACAGTCAGAAGCGCGGGAGGGTGAGAGAATTCACCAGAGCCAGAGCAGGGAGCAGAACAGGCAGAAGGACCGAGGTACACTGCTGAGGGGAGCAGAGGGCGGCAGGAGAGGTCTGCGCGCCATGTGGGACCCTCACCCGGCGGCCAGGGATCGAACCGGCACTACGGAAGCTGCGGGCAGCTTTGCAGCCCAGCGCTCAACCGCTGCGCCTCCAGGGGAGGCCCCCAAGCATGACATTTTAAGGGGTAGTTACTTTGTCCTTGCAAAATCATATCTGAAATTTTTTTACCATTTGATTTGCATCCACTGGATCCTTTATCTTTTTTTTTTTTTTTTTTTAATACAAGCACTGGGCACAGTCAGAAACGCAGAATGGTGAGAGAATTCACCAGAGCCAGAGCGGGGAGCAGAGCAGGCAGAAGGACTGAAGTACACTGCTGAGGGGAGCAGTGGGCACGGCAGGAGAGGTCTGCGTTCCATGTGGGACCCTCGCCTGGCGGCCGGGGATTGAACCGGCACTGCAGAGGCTGGGAAAGCTTCACAGCGGGGTGCTCAATCACTGCGCCACCAGGGAGACCCTTTTTTCTTTTCTTTTAAAACATTTTGTTGCCCCTAGCTTTTCCTATCTGGTGTAAAGTTGGCCAGAAAGCATCCTCTTGCAGCCCTGGCTTTATTGCTGTGCTCTGCCCCACCTCCCACTTCATCAAACATGTTATGTATGTCTGCTTTGTTTAACTAATGATCTAGTTTGGGGTCTTTCATAAATCATCTGGTTTGGGGGGGACTCCCATTTTTAGTCCCACCTGTCCTGGGCCATCCAGGACTGGTGCTGAGCCAACTGAGTTCCCATGGGGATTCGGGGAAGGAAGCGGTTATGTCATTCTGTCTCTTCTTGCTTCCACACCTCTCTCTGGGATGGTGACTCCTTCCTGGCTCAAACCCCCACACCCCCTAAATATTGGTCACAGCTGTGTGTCAGCTGCCCCTGCGGGTGAAGGTGACTGTGAGTCACAGATGCACCAGCAAGCCCCCACCCCCAGGGCTTTAGGCGAGGGGAGCCACCTGTCCATTTTTTCTTCCCCATTTGTTGCAAGCCTGCTGTGTGCCAGGCACAGTTCTAGGTGCTAGAGGCCCAGGGGTGAACAAAACAGATAAGAATACATGACCTGTGGGGGGTTTATAACTCAATGGAGGAAGACAAGGAGCAATTAACTGATAAGATCATAACAGACTATGTGAAAAGCCTCAAAGAAATGAGTGGGGTGCTGGGAAGACTTGGAGGGGCTTTAAGTTTGGGGGTCCGAAGAAATCTGAGGGGGTGACAATTGTTTATTTATTCTAGTATTTTTGATTGGGCCGGTGTCTTACAAGTGCCAAAAAATCTTCCAGTCTGTGGCTGTACAGATGACAACAGCAGACAGCACTAGGTCCTCCCCGAGCTTCCAGACCAGTGGGCAGAGACGACTGTCAAGAACAAATGAACCCACAGGATACTTTTTTAGAGAGAGATAGAGATTATGGGGGAAATTAAAATACAGAGCACTGGGCCTCCCCTGGTGGCGCAGTGGTTGAGCGCTGGGTTGCGAGGCTGCTCGCAGCCTCTGCAGTGCCAGTTCGATCCCCGGCCTGCCAGGGAGCAAACCACATGGAGCACCTCCTAACTCGCCTGTTGCTCCCCTCAGCAGTGTATTTCAGTAGATCTGCCTGTTCCTCTCCCCACTCTGTCTCTGGTGAATCCTCTCACCCCCCATATCTCTGCCTATACCCCAGCTCTTGTATGCATAAATAAATAAATCTTTTTAAAAAATTAAAATAAAATAAAATACAGAGCAGTGTAACCCTGAGGGAGCTTCGCACATTGGACCGTCCAACCAGCAGGTGAGGTCAGACCAGGTTTTCTGGATGTGGGTAGACTGAGGCACAGCTGCGATGGCAGGAGGTGGCTCAGAAAGGAGGGAACTTGAGATGGGGAGTCAGGAAGGCCTCTCTTAGGGTGGCACCTGAGGAAACCAAGGAGCAGCACAGGAAAGATGTGGGCAGGATTTTCCCAGCATAAATCTACAGGAGGGAGGCCAGGGATCAGCAGGGAGCCAGATGGAGAGGACTGGCGGGAATAGAGAGCAGAGGCTGGATTTCATCCTAACACCAGCACATGGCCTGGGATCCACGGTGCAGGGCTGGCGGACCTCACGCACCTCCATCTCTCTGAGGCCCTCAGACGGGCTGCACTGTGACGTCACAGTGCCCCATGAGGTCACAGCAAGAAGCTCCGGAGCCATAGCCCACCGGTGGGCTCACTAACATCACATCACCGCGGGACCAGGGCCGCTGGGCCATAAAATCTTAGGGAGCCATGCCAAAACGGGACGTCGTGCTCACCAATGTCACCATTGTCCAGCTGCTCCGACAGCCATGCCCCGGTGAGGGGGCGGCAGGGTGACCCCGGGAGGGGGACACAGCGGGTGGAGTGAATCCGGGGAGGGGAGAAGGGTAGCCTGGGCGCACCCCACGCCCCCGCACTGGGCTCACTTTGGGTCCGAGCTCCCGTTCAGCAAAGCGCTCGCCTCCTGGAGTCGGCGCAGGCAGGAGGCGCGGGGTGGGGCCGCCACCTGCCGGCCCCGGCCCTTCCAGCCAGAAATCGCTTCGCGGCTTCCCGCCCGCGCCCTCATCCACCCTCCAGGCCCGCCCGCCTGGTCCTCGGGGTTTGCTGGCGGTGGTTTCTGTGCTGGTGGCGGAAGCTCGGGGGCAAGGCCGCGGCAGGCGGGGGCCAGGGGGTCGCGAGGAGCGCGCGGCTCGCAGACATTTCTAAGGAGACCCCGCACCCCGAGGAGCTGGGTCTCCCATTCAGCGGACGCTTGTGCGGGTCTGGTCAAAGAGACCGCTTTGGGGGGGGGGGTGGACTCTGACCTCCCTGCATTGCGCAAAACGAGGACATTTGCAACGCGCAGGGGCCACGCCAGTCGCTTTGCAGGCGCGCCCTCGTCCCAGCCTCATAACCGTCAGCTGAGCCCATTTAACAAGGCGACCTACAGAGATAAGGGAGCGCAAACCACTGCCCTAGGTCGCGGGGCTGGAGACGCGATTCCCCGGCCTCCGCGGCGCAGGGCTGGGGCGGGCTGGGGCGGGCTGGGGGCGGGCTGGGCTGGGCGAGGGCGGGGCTTAGGTCTCGCCCCGGGGTCCCGAAGGCCTGGGAGTCCCAACAGCTCACCGCTTAAATGACTGGGAGACTTGAACCCTTCCCTGCTCATCATCGCTGTGACCTCGGGCCTCGGTTTCCCCTCCGCAAAGTGGATTTCCAGCTCATGTGTCATGGGATTGTGTGAGCTGATGCACGTGAGGAGCTCGTCCCAGCACCCAGCCCGTGGTGGCACCCAGGAAATGGGAGTGCCGTAGTAATTGGGAGAAGGCACCTGTGCGTTTGTTTCCCCTACCAGGTGATGCTTCATCACTGAAGCGCCTCTGGGTTCCTCCTTCCTGGCCTTTGCTTTGCTCCAGCCTTGTCCTCCACCCCTAAAGTGGGGCGGAGAAAGGGGGCAGGCTGGGGTAGTTGGGAGAGCAGGACCACCTGGGCTTTCTTTGAAAGGCCCCCAAGGGGGCTCAGATACTCTTAATCCAGATGGATAAAGCTCCCCCTTTTCTGACAGTAGAAACAGAACCCCCAGGAGCACAAATATCCTTAGAGTCACTGGTAACCCATAAATGCTGACTAACCTTTATGAACTTGCACTGTTACTGGAGACACCCACAGCCCAGCCTGGGGCCACGAGGTCTGTGGTGGAATGAAGAAGTCAAGGAGACAGCCAGGCCAGGGGACCCCCAGCTCCTAGCCCCTCCTCCACCGCCATGTGCCTTTGATCCTGGAGCCAAAAGCATCTCACACCTTCACCTTTCAGCTTCTCTGCAATCCTACTATCATCCTTTCTGGCAAATACTCTTTGTATTACACTTCCTCCCCTCTGTTAAAATCAGCACCCACTCATGGGCTGTGAGATCTTACTGCGTCCTCGAAGCAGCCCAAGGTGGAGGGTCAGATGAGATGCCAGGACATAAGCAGGAAGGTTTGGTCCAGCACACTCTTAATCCAGATCTTAATACATAGGTAGCAGGTGGCTAAACCAGGGTTGACACGCAGACCAGAACCCCAGCTTGAAACCTCCCCACATCTCCCTTCCACCTCCCTCCTCCTCTTCTGTCATGTAACTCAGACCCACACCTCCGAGCACTGGGGTGTTATCTGCAACCCAGGAGTGGGAGTGTGGTTCTAGACAGGTGGAAGTTGCTAGAGGTTTCCATTTATTTTCGTATTTCTGATACACCTGTATTTCCAAAACTTCTCTGGGCCTCAGTGCAGATCTGGCAAGCCAGATTCTCCTAAGAAGTGCCCCCTTCTTGAGTGATTCTTACCAGCAGAACAGTGTGGGGGACCACTGAGATCAATTACCAACAAGCTCAGAAAATGATCTTTTTTAAAAAAAAGATTTATTTATTTATGCATACAAGAGCTGGGGTACAGGCCAGAGATGCAGGGGGTGAGAGGATTCACAGAGACAGAGTGGGGCACAGAACAGGCAGACTGACCGAAATACACGAAATACACTGGTGAGGGGAGCGGCAGGTGAGACAGGAGAGTCTGCCACGCCGTGTGGGTAGCTCCCTGGCCAGTCGAGGATCAAACTCGTGCTGCAGAGGTTGCGGATTGCTTCATAGTGCGGTGCTTAACCCCTTGCGCCACCAGAGAGGCCCCCAGAAAATGATCTTTGAGCTACAAAGGTATCTCAAAGGTGTATAGTTTCTCAGAATCTGTATTCACACAGCTTATAGGACCTCCAGTAATTCTCACGGGACTTCTCTGAGAGAAGTACTATTTTCTCCATTTTACAGAGGAGGAAACTGAGGCACAGTGAACCTCCCCCCACGCAATTGTTAAAAATGCAGACTCCCTGGCCTCTCCTGGTGGCGCAGCGGTTGAGCGCTGGGCTGCGAAGCTTCCCGTAGCCTCTGCAGCACCGGTTCGATCCCCAGCCACCGGCGAGGGTCCCACCAAAAAAAAAAAAAAAAAATGCAGACTCCCTGAATGAGAATCTCCAGGGAAGGGGCCCTGGTGTTGACATGTCAAGGCAAGTCCACCCCAGGCCATTGTGTGGACCAGGCAGGGCTGGGAGACGCTGAGCTCGATGGCCGGCTGCCAGGAGCCAGCCTTGGGTTCTGGGGGCAGAGACGGTTCACTCTTACCCGGATGAAGCAGCTCACTTCCACCCTCCCCCCACAGTCACCAGACCACCACCACCGCCCCCACCGCCACCGCCCCCACCTGAACCCAAGGTTGAGCCAACGCCTGAACCTGAACCTGAACCTGAACCCGAACCCGAGCCCGAGCCCATAGAGGAGGAAGCCCCGCCGCCACCACCACCACCACCACCACCTCCACCTCCTCCACCTGTTAAGCCGAAACTAATTGTGGGCATCAACGGGTAAGTGGCCCCGAGTTCTTCCTGAGACTTTAGGGTGCAGCCCCTCCTCTGGGCCATCTCCATGTGTCTCCCCAGTACTGCTTTCATTCTGCCCCAGCTGGAGGAGCCAGGGCTCCACCCTCAGGGACCCCACCTTCTGGTGGGGAGAGAACAGTAACAAGTGAGGAATAAGTCAGTGTGGCGGGTGTGTGTTATGAACAGCATGGCACCCGGGGTGCAATGAGCCTGGAGGGGGCAGTGTGAGCCAGGGCGGTGTGGAGGCCTCTGGGAAATGACACTGGAGCGGGCCTCAGTGACAGCTGTGCAGCAAGCCATGGCCCTAAAAGGAAGGAGGCAGCTCCTGTGCTGAGGACAGAGGAGAAGTCAGCATGGGTGGGGTGGAGCAAACAAAGGGGAGAAGTGGAAGGGCGGTCGGGAGCCAGCAGGGCCTGGTGACCCATGGTAAGGACTTTGGAGTTGGTTTTGCTGATAGTTGCGGAGCTTTCAGGCCAAGAGACACAATCAGACCCACCATTCTATGAGACCCGTTCAGCTGCAAGGTTAGGAAGGGCACAGGGGATGGATGGGCGGAGGAAGCAGGAAAGCAGTGAAGAGTCAGGCAAGGCCGTCTGGGCAAGAGACAACGGTGGCCCACACAGGGCCAGGCTGCTTCTTCCCCCAGACTGGAGGGTCCCACTCAGTCTCTTCAAGTGGGTGTCTTCCCTGCTGCCCCCTACTCTTCCATCCCCTCCCCTGCCCCCCTCGAGGAGTCTGAGACCCCCTAACGCCCATGTCCCTGGACAGATTCGGACGCATCGGCCGCCTGGTGCTGCGGGCCTGCTTGGAAAAGGGGGTGAAAGTAGTGGCCGTGAATGACCCATTTATCAGTCCCGAGTACATGGTGAGCAGCAGGGAGGCGGGGGCCGGGTGGAGGGAGCTCTATGGAAGGTTCCCCTCTGCAAAGTGGGGACTCCCTGGAGCTGCTCATCCCCCCATCCCTGCCCCCACAAAACTAGGAGCCCTCTGTCTCCCGCAGGTATACATGTTTAAGTACGACTCCACCCACGGCCAATACGCAGGAAAGGTAGAATGCAAGGACGGCCAGCTGCTCGTGGACAACCAGGAGATCAGTGTCTTCCAGTGGTAAGGGCCGCCGGACGTAGCAATGACTAGGGTGGACTCCTGGTGACGTGGGGTTCATAACTCCCCCAAACCGTGCGCATGTGCCTCTGGGTACTGGTTTGCAGAGAAGTTGTCAGAAAAGCTGTTCATCCCAAGTGGTCTGGAAGCACTCACCTAGAAAGATGCCCGTTGTACTGCAAGCACGTTGTACTTAACACACATCTGCATGTTTTCTCACAAGCTTGTCAACATGTCTAGACCTCAACTCGTGGTTCCCCTTCAATCTCCCCACCTATCCCTCTCCCTTCCCCGGACATGGTAAGGCGGCCTCCGATCAGTTCCGACACAGCAGTGTTTAAAAAACATCAGACGGGCCTCCCTGGTGGCACAAGGGGTTAAGCTCTGCACTATGAAGCGATCCGTAGCCTCTGCAGCACGAGTTCAATCCCCGGCCAGCCAGGGAGCAACCCACATGGCGAGGCAGACCCCTCCTGTCTCGCCCGCTGCTCCCCTCAGCAGTGTATTTCAGTCAGTCTGCCTGCTCTGTTCCCCGCTCTGTCTCTGGTGGATCCTGTCACCTCCCACTCCGCATCTCTGGCCTGTGCCCCAGCTCTTGTGTGCATAAGTAAATAAATCTTAAAACAAACAAAAACAACATCAGATGAACGCGGTGGTGTAGGGTCACTGAACGGAGAAAAACCTGTGTCATGCTTCCTTTGAGTAGGCAATTTAGAGTCAATAATAGTCTTACCTTTAGCTTTGCCTTTGGAGTAATGGTGATGTAACTTTTATTGTTTATGTACTTTTCCTGTTGTTAAAGTTATCATTTATTTTAGTTTTATGATTCTATTAGAGCTACAAGCATAAGGAACTCCTACTTTCTTTTATATCTATGTAAAAGATATTTAAACAGTGATAATAAAAATAATCAAGTGTATTTAAAAAAATCAGATGAACCCAGTTACTCCCCTACTTAAATCCTCCAGTGGCTTCCCATCACCCCAACAAAATCCCAGCTCCTGATTGCACCCAGCACTCCACCTCCCACCCCTGCAGGCGTTAGTCACCTCAGCCACATGCCATCCACCTCTTGAGGTGCTGAGCCAGCACCTCTCACCACCACCCCCCACCGCCCCTGGCAATGCTGACTCCTTACAACACCAATGTTCTTTTTTTTTAAAGATTAAGATTCTTTTTTTTTAATTAATTAATTTATTTATACAAGCACTGGGTACAGTCAGAAGCGCGGGAGGGTGAGAGAATTCACCAGAGCCAGAGCAGGGAACAGAGCAGGCAGACTGATGAAATGCACTGCTGAGGGGAGCAGTGGGCGCGACAGGAGAGGTCTGCGCGCCATGTGGGATCGAACCGGCGCTGCAGAGGCTGCGGGCAGCTTCACAGCCCAGCGCTCAACGGCTGCACCACCAGGGGAGGCCCACAACACCAATGTTCTTTTTAAAAGACATGTTTAGAATCTTTAAGTCATCAACATTCGGTGTTTAATACGTTTCAAACACAAACATTTTCAAGACAGCAAAAAAAAATTAAAATTGACCAAGTTGGAGCGAGTAAACCTACTTTATGTCTCAAAGTAAGTGTTCCCCACTGCTGCACCCTGGCTGCCTTAAACCTTTGCACACACTTGCACAAGCAGCCTGGTGGCGCCCGCCAGCCACGAACAACATCTGCAGCTTTCCTGGGCTCTTCCTAGCAGGTGTCCTTTGGGCCTCTGTAATAAGGGGGTCAGAGCTGGGTGCAGTGAGGGGAGGGCGAGTGGAGTCAGTGAGAACAGGAGCAACTGCTTGACCCAAGTTTGAAATCTCGTGTTCTTTCCTGCCTGCCCCGGCACCATCATTTCTGTCACTTGCAGCTTTTTTCCTGTCCCTTCCTGTCACCGCAATGTGTGCCCCCACGCAGATGCTGCCTTCTCTGGTGACCTCAGCAGAGGTCTGCACTCCCACACCACACTGAGGAGTGTGGACATTGTCAGGTTGTGCGTGTGTTTACCTGGCTCCACCCCTCTCCAGTCGGGTGACCTTGGGTAGTGGACTGACCTTCCCCAGCCTCAGTTTCCTCAGAATCTGATGGGGACAATATCAGACCACAGCAGGGAGCACGGCCGGAGTTAACAGGTTAATAGGGAGCACGGGGAAGGGCACTTTCCCACAAGGCCACAGCCTCCTTGCAGGGAGGGCTGTCAGTTTGTGTCATCATGTGGCATTGGCATCAGCAGGTGCAGGCCCCAGCTCTTTACTAGACTCAGTACCTCCTTAAAGAATGAAGGAATGAATGAATGAATGAATGAATGAATGAATGAAATCCTCGAAACAGCTCTCTGGGAAGAAGGGTAGGCCCCATGACAGCCTAGGGGAAGAGGCTGGGTTGTCCTGGGATGCTGACTCTTTTCCCCATACCAACTCAATAATGGCTGCAGAGGAATTTATTGAAGTGCCCCCAAACTTGGAAGGCAGGAAGTGGAGGCGGGAGGCCTCAGAGAAGGGCTAGTCAGGTCAGATGATGAAAAGTGTGATTTGACAGAGCAGATAACCAGGGAGAGAAAACCATGTGGTGGCCCAGGGAATAGAGGGAAGCCCCTCATTCATTCATTCATTCATTCCTGCAGCATAGCTAGAGTGCAGATCCCAGATCAGGCACCTCTACTCCCTGCTGGCTCTGCCTTCTACCCCCTATGCCCTGACCTTGGCCCCTCTGAAAAATGCCAAAAACACTACTCAGGTTGGGAGAATCAGATGAGTCCAATACAGATAGAGCATACAGAATACAGCATATGGTAGGTGCTCAACACATGTGTAGAATGACTTAAAAAACCCCACAAACACTGATTGAACCTCTCTGAGGGGAGCAGGTTCATGGAAAAGAAAACAGACCCGGCCCTGCTGCTGTGGTATGTTCCAGAAGAAGAGACACTAATGAACGACCCCAGATGCAAATACTGCAATGTAATGAACCCAGTGAGAGGGAAGACAGTGCATAAAATAGCTTATCCTTTTATTGTTTTGTGTAAATCCAAGCAAAACACAGCAATATTTGACATTCAATGTTTTGAACAATGGTTGATAAAATAAAGATGTGCATTTGAAAAACAGGAAGCAAATCTCTTACAATATAAACCACTGGCCACAACAGCCCCAAGGGGACGTTAGACTCCAGTCCTGCCTGCAGGGAGCCTCTCTGGGGCTGCAGTGTCACTGGGGACCCAGGCCTGCCTCTGGCAGAAGGCTCCTCATTGCAGGAGTTGGGTGGTAAAGACAAGAGGGGCAGGAGGGATGTGGTGAGGGGCCACTGTTGGGGACTAGGAGTAATGGCCTCAACTTCAGGGGAGCAGGGAGTAATCAGGTTGCCCCCCAGGGATTGAGGCCTGAGTCAGGGAGTTGGCAACTGTGTTCAGGAGTAGCGCAGCTAGAAAAGGGTCAGCATTGGAAGCAAGGACACAGGGTGGAGCCCATCTGGGCAGTGTGTAAGGGGAACAATGACTACAGGGCAGGCAGGCAGGCATCTGGTCAGCCTTTCAAATGGTCAAGGTCATAGACTATGGAGGGGAGGCCAAGCGGGGGACTCACAGCTGCCACCCTCCACAGCGACCAGCCCAAAGACATCCCCTGGAGGTCCGTCGGGAGCCCCTACGTGGTGGAATCCACAGGCGTGTTCCTGACCTTAGACAAAGCTTCGGTAAGTGAGGAGGGGATGCCCAGGACCATCTGGGGTGTGACGTCATGACACTTCATGGAGCACTTCATGACACCTGTGCTCCTTCCCTAGAAACACATCGAGGCAGGCGCTCAACGTGTGATCATCAGCGCACCTTCACCCGATGCGCCCATGTTGGTCATGGGGGTGAACGAGAAGGAATATAACCCTGGCTCCATGAGGATTGTCAGGTAACAGGCAGCCCCGTTCTGGAGTGTGTGGGTGGGTGGATGCGCCAGCATGTGGTGGGGAGGGATCCTCACCGCCACTCCTGCCTGACCCCTGGCGCCGCTTCCACAGCCATCTGCTTCTCCCCAGAGTCTTAGCGGCCTTTATGTTAATGTTACTTAAAATTTAGAAAGGCATGACTTTGGGGGAACTGCCTCCAACTGCGCCTCTGGCGCCTCCTCCTGAGGCATCCCCATTAATCCCCTTCATCTTCTGTGGGTACACCTTGAAAGAGGGGAGTTGGAGGGTACCCTGTGACCCTCTCACAATGCCCCTGCACACCCGGGCCTCTTCCAGCAATGCATCCTGCACCACCAACTGCCTGGCCCCCCTAGCCAAGGTCATCCATGAGGAATTTGGGATCGTGGAAGGGCTGATGGTGAGTTGAGGAGAGGGGCTGGAACAGGAGGGAGGGCAGGAAGAACCAACCTCTTGTTCCCAGGGCTTGTTAGCATGTGCAGGTAACGGAGCGACTGGTTTTGGGAGGAGGAGAAAAGTCTTAAAACACTGTGGGCCCTGGCTTGTGCTGGTTCCGCCAGCCTCCACATTAGGGTCACCACCCTGGGTGTGGGGAAGTGGCCTGGGAGCTTGGGCGTGGGAAGGCCTCACCTCGGCCCTCTTCTTCCCCAAGACCACGGTCCATTCCTACACTGCCACCCAGAAGACAGTGGATGGGCCATCGAAGAAGGCCTGGCGAGACGGGCGCGGAGCCCACCAGAACATCATCCCAGCCTCCACAGGGGCTGCCAAGGCGGTGGGAAAAGTCATCCCCAAACTCCAAGGGTATGAGGGCAGGAAGCTGCCACCAGGGTGGGGAGCACACCCGGGGAATGGACTGGCCCCCAAACATTAAGGTGTCTATTGAGGGGAAAGCAGTGACAAGAAGAGATAGACAGAGAAGTCCCTGGATTCTGACTCCCACCCTCATGTGCATTTTCTAGGAAGCTGACAGGAATGGCCTTCCGGGTGCCAACCCCAAATGTGTCTGTTGTGGACCTGACCTGCCGCCTGGCCCAGCCTACCCCGTTCTCAACCATCAAGGAGGCTATAAAAGCAGCAGCTAAGGGGCCCCTGGCTGGCATCCTGGCCTACACAGAGGATGAGGTAGGAACAGAGGACAGGGATTCCCTGGGGAGGCAGCGTGGTTTCTACTTGTCATGGAACTGCTGGCAATGTATCAAGATAGGAATTTCAGGGCTGGGAAGGTCAGATCTCCCAGGCTCAGGGACTTTGCATTTACTGCTTCTTTGGTCTGAAAGCTTTTCCCCAGATGGCCAAATAGATCCACCTCCTCCAAGTCTCTACTTCAGCCTCCCTCCTCAGCAAGATGTTCTTTTTGTGGCCCTACATTTCAGTTACTGTAGGCCCTGCCATTGTGTGCATTTCATGAAAGCAGAGATTAGGGACTACCTTAGTACTTGCCTAGCTCCAGGGTCTGGCACACAGCAGGTGCTTAATGAACAAGAGAAAGGCTCCCATTTTTTAATACTTGCTCCCAGCAGCCATGGCCAGGTGTCTCCCCTGTGGGAGTGTTTGTTACCATCCCTTCACTCTCAGGAGTGCCACCTCTGTGCCTCCACCCTGGCGCTGCCTCCCTGCTTTAGCTCCTGCAGGTCCACCCTTATGCAGCTGCCAGGATCTCATTTTATAATGAAATCACCCCCAGTGCTTAAAACCTTCCTGGAGCCTTCCACCACACTGGGGTCACATGCTGAGGACCTCTGTCCTGCTGCATCTTCCACCTCAGACACTGTGCCGAGGGGCCTGAGTTGGCCAGATCCTCCTTGTCCCCTGAGAGGACCCTTGCGCAGCCCAGTCCAAGCGCCCACCTTATCCCGGGAAGTGATGTTTATGGGCGGCCTCATGGTGTTGAGGTCTGTGTCCTCCGCTCAGTCCCGGCCAGCAAAGCCCCATCTGCCTTCTTCATACCCTGCCGCTGCAGGAGCAAAGCAGCGCCCCACCAGGTATGGCAGATGAACGGATGGACAGAAGGCAGAAGAGCCCGCGCCCGGGCTCCTGGAAGCCCCTGCTCTGCGGCCCACACTTAATTTTTGCAATTCTGTCGCCCAGGTGGTCTCCACGGACTTTCTCGGCGACCGCCACTCGTCCACCTTCGATGCTAAGGCCAGCATTGCGCTCAATGACCACTTCGTAAAGCTCATTTCCTGGTAAGGAGTCAACACAGAGAGTGGAGGGAGGCTAGGGGCGATCGGAAGGGATGCCCTGATCCCCAACCCCGCTCCTCCCTTCCCAGGTACGACAACGAGTATGGCTACAGTCACCGGGTGGTCGATCTCATCACCTACATGTTCAGCCGAGACAAATGAAGCAGGCTGGCCCCTGCCGCCTCCACCTCCCAGCGCTCTCGGGCCCCAACCAGTACCTCCCGTTCCCGCACTCGGCTCCTCGGGGGGAAGGAGGGCGCGCAGGGTGAAAGGCCTGCGCCGCTGGCCAACAGCGAAATAAAGAATAAAAAAAGACAGCGGCGCCCAGTCTTTCCGCGCCAGCCCCGCTCGCGAGTCCGTCTCCACCCGGAGCGCACCGCTCCGGTTCCGGCCCCGGGTCCGTGACGTCATCCGTCGGTGCCGGCGGGGGCTGCGCCCCTCGTGACGTCATCCTCCGGTGCCGGCGGGGCTGCGCCCTTCGTGACGTCATCCGCCGGCGCCGGCCGGAGCTGCCCTCCCAGAAGGCCGCGCGGGCCGCGGCGGAGGCAGGTGGGCGCCAGGCCCAGGCTCGGGCGCCAGGGCTGAGGCGGACATACACGCTGCGAGACCCCCGCCGCGCCCCTCCGCGGGCCGGGCGGCCGGCGCCATGACGCTGTTTCACTTCGGGAACTGCTTCGCCCTGGCCTACTTCCCCTACTTCATTACGTATAAGTGCAGCGGCCTGTGAGTGCGGGGCTGCCGCGGGGCGGGGAGGACGGGCCCGGGCCGACCTCTCCTCACCTTCCGCTCCTGCAGGTCCGAGTACAATGCCTTCTGGAAGTGTGTCCAGGCCGGGGTCACCTACCTCTTCGTGCAGCTGTGCAAGGTGAGGGCCGCCCGGACCCCACGCGGCTGGCCCCCAAGCTCACCAGACCCAGGGCTCCGCCCCCGCTCGGATCCCCCCCGGGTGGGACCGCCCTCGGGACTCGGCAGAAAACCCACAGAAGACGACTTTGGAAGGAATGGAACCTGAGGAGGAGAGGTCTTGAAGCCACTTTTGCATAACACTTTAGTAAAATGGAGCAAACTCAGCTGTGTGGTTAAGAGGGGTTTTGGTGCCGGCAATAGCTGTTCACTAACCCCCAAGGCCCACACAACACTAACACAGCACCTCCCCGGACCTGACCTTGATCCCCTGCGATGGCCACTTAACTCAAACTTAAGCACTCTCAGGGACGGGTCTCCTGCCCTCAGTCACCCCTGGTTCTGTTGCCTTGCCCCTGTCTGGTGGTCCCTCTCCCACATGGCCCCAGAACCCCAAGGTCCTTTCCTCCACATACACACTAACTTCTCACAACACCCACGTGGTTGATTCCTGTCACCTTGAGGTGACCTCTTCGCTTTCTCTTTTCAGATGCTGTTTCTGGCCACTTTCTTTCCCACCTGGGAAGGTGGCATTTATGACTTCATTGGGGTGAGTGGGGCCGGAGAGAGGAGGGAGGGAATGGGGTGGGCCCTCTGGCACCTGTGCTTACTCAAGCTTCACCCTGACCCACAGGAGTTCATGAAGGCCAGCGTGGATGTGGCAGACCTGATAGGCCTAAACCTTGTCATGTCCCGGAATGCCGGCAAGGGGGAGTACAAGATCATGGTTGCTGCCCTGGGCTGGGCCACAGCCGAGCTCATTATGTCCCGGTGTGTGCAGCAGCCTGGAGCCCAGATTCCTGAGATAGGACATCTGGGTTCCAGAGGGGTGCTGGCGGGAGGGGGCTCAGATTCTGAGTGCTGGGGGTATCTGGATACTAGAGAATCTCTCCCTTGCCTTCCTTAGCTGCATCCCACTCTGGGTTGGAGCCCGAGGCATTGAGTTTGACTGGAAATACATCCAGATGAGCATTGATTCCAACATCAGTCTGGTATGCAGTCCTGCTCTCTTACACATGCGCTTTTGCTGCCATGTTCTTCCCCAAGACCTGGCCCTGACACCCTGCCTCCCTCCAGGTCCATTACATCGTTGCATCTGCCCAGGTCTGGATGATAACACGTTATGACCTGTACCACACTTTCAGACCGGCAGTCCTCCTGCTGATGTTCCTTAGTGTCTACAAAGCCTTTGTCATGGAGTAAGCTGGGTTGGGTTTGAGGTAGGGTGGATCCAAGTAGGGCTGTTTTGTTGCACTCCTTCCCTCATTGTGATGTTTCCCCCACAGGACCTTTGTCCACCTCTGTTCCCTGGGCAGCTGGACAGCACTGCTGGCCCGAGCGGTGGTGACAGGGCTGCTAGCCCTCAGCACCTTGGCCCTATATGTCGCTGTTGTCAATGTGCACTCCTAGGTGGGATATCCCAGACATCACATACCTTTTGCCTGTTTGCGGGTTTCAGTGAAGTAAACAGTATTTGGAAATTTGTTTCTGCCTCCATTTCTCACTATCTCATACCAGTACCATGCTCACCAGGGTTCCAGGGACACCCCCCACGCTCCCCCTCACCCCCGCTTTCTGGCTTTAAAGCCAGATAACAAGCTGAGAAACTAACACTGATTTGTCTTGTGTTCTGGGAACAGTGTCTTGGCTTCTTGTTTCCCCAGGGTAAACTGAGGGCTGGAAGTAGAGGACCTTTGAGGGCCCTCGGGGAACAAAAGAGAGGAGCCTGAATCTAGGAAAAGGTTCTTGTGGACTTCGTATAGCCTCACTGTGACCCTCTTCTACATGGGCCCTTCTCTAGAGTTTCAGCCCCAATCTCCCCTACTAATCCACCCTTTGTGTGGCAGCTAAGGGCATCTATTTGAGACCCTCATCATACTAGTTCACGCTCCCTGCTTACAATCATCTGTGGCTCTCCATTGCACACCGAACAGCCCAACCACGTGACCCTTGGTCTTGCTCTTGGGGCAGGTCTTGGTGGTCCTGAGCTCTTCAGTGCTTTCACTCTCAGGTCAGATCCTGGCCTTAGTCTTCTCCGGGAAGCTGCAGTCAAGTGGCAGAGCATTTGCGCCCTCCAGTTTGGCGTTGCCTGCGATGCCACCCTCCCTGCCTCAGCCCTTCCTCTCCGGATCCTACTGCTATCGGTGGGATCCCCTGGAGCATGGGATAATTGCCCCCTCCATCCTCTCCACCAAGCAGTTGAGCTCCTGCCATAATGTTATTTAACCCTGGGCCTAGGAAAGCACCAAGCGTACCTCTGCTCTACACTTGGTGTTTTCACCCTCAGACGGGGCAGCCTCATCTAACCCCACTCCCTTCTCCTTGCCCTGACAGGGCCCATAGGCATCAGGAGTGGAATGGAAAGGTGAGAACTTGGTCACCCTGATTTGGATGTGAAAAGGGAGCAGGTGAGGTACTCTCCTAGCCCACCTGGGTGATATGGAATGGGTTGACTTCCTCCCGCACCTCCCATCCATACCCCACATGGCCCGTGATACGTGTCAGGACAAGTGAAAGTCACAGAAATGACTATTCAACAGTTTGCTGAGCAGGGATTCTGGTCCAAGCTCCCTACTTGTGGCTGTCACGTAACGTTGGCTTTCATGGAGCTCCGGCAGATACCAGGGTAGCACAGGCCAGGGGCATCAGGTCCATGGAGTCGGACGCCTGGTTGGCGTGGGACTAATGAGCTAGACTGCTGTGATCGGCGCTGTGGTGGGAAAACGAGAAGTGCCGCCTGAGCAGTCAGAATGTGGGAGCTGGCACGTAAAGGATGAGTTCATGGGACAGAGGGGAAAGGCAGTTGGCTAGGCCTTGAGGTCAGAAAAGTTTTGGCCTTTGCAGCAAAACATAACTGCAACAAGTTCCAGGGGTCTGTGAGACCGCAGCAGTCAACCCAATTGCAGAGGCTCTGAAGGCTGCGCTGGAGAGTTAGCATCGGGCAGTGGGGAGTGAGGGAGGGTTCTAGGTAGGGGAAGGACTGTCAGATTCAGCTTTAAAAGATCTCCATGGAGAGACCAAGAGCAGAAGGTCGACGGGTGGGGGGAGGAGGAGAGTGGCTAGATGCAAAGAGGTGGTAGTGACCAGAGGGCAGTGCGTGTGTTTCCCAGAGAGCGGGAAGATGACAGGTGAGGAAGGAAGGAGTGGAGTGACAAGTCGGCTTGTGTCCCACAGGGAAGGAACCACCTGATGGACAGTAGACAGGAGCGAGTTTAGAGGGTGATGCAGAAGCCAGTGTGGGTCCCCTCGGACGTGCAGGTGAGGCTGGAGGCAGGCAAATGGGGGCTTCAGTGAGACCTGAGGCTGCTGGGGTGGGGTCTGGGATGGGGGGATTGTGGTGAAGACAAAAAGCCTGGGGTCCAGACTCAAACATGGGAGTAAGAAAAAGTGTGGTAGGGTAGGGAATGGAACTTTCCAGCAGCTAGAGGGTCAAGTTTTGGGGTGAGAGCTATGAGAGCCTCCAGGAGTGGACGAGGGACTAGCCAGTGACAGGGTGCCTGTTGCAGGAGCAAAGGCAGCAACAAGTGCAATCTCAAGCTAGCGGAGACGATGCTTCATATGGAAAAGACTTGATACCTGTGTCAAGGAGCCTCCAGAGGGAGAATGGGCACTTAAGGAGCCCCGGGGTGGAGGTGTGACTGGTGGAGTGCATGAAGGAAACCCACGCTGTAATCCTAGACAAGAAATGGGATTCACTCCCCAGGGAACATTGAGTACCCACCGTGTGCCGGGCTGTGTTCTAGAAACGAGTTACAGCCCCGAACAGGGACCCCCAAAGCTATAGGGTAGAGGGACCCCAGGGGCTCAAACATTCACGATGGCGCCCAGCACTAAACAAAACACTGTCCACATGAGCTGGTTTATTACTGACATGCAAACAGGAGTGTTTTTAAGGAAGGTCCCCCAGGCGGTCCTAGGGAAAGACCTACTTTGCAGGAGCTGCTAGCTCCTGTTCCCCATCAAAGGCCCCGCCAGCCCAAAGAGAAGCCTCCCCAAGGCCAGCTCAGAGGACAGGCGGGGGACTGCTTCTCCAGGAGGGTGCACCCCTTGGGCAGGGGCAAGGGGAGAGGGGAAGGTCCCCTTGAGGTTGAGGTGCTGTGGCCTGCAGGAGCAGACGGGCTAGGACTCGACTGCGGCTGTCCTGGTGGCTGTCCAGAGGGTCCCATGAGTCCGGCCCCCTCCTGGCTGTGGTGGATGCAGGGAGGACTTAAAGGCAAGAATCCCTCTAATAGTAGAGTTCTTTATCCCACCAGCCTGCAAGAGAGAGAAAAAGGGGGCTCAGACTACCAGGGGCTGCAGGTTGGGTGGGGGCCATGGGCTGAGAGGTAATGGATCAGGGCAGGTTAGATGAGGGGCCCCAAGGTCTTGGAGGCTGAGTATTGGAGATCGAAATTCAGGGCAGCTTCT